GTAAGGCTCATCCCTTTTGAAAATGTTGTTTCAATTTGATTGTTAAAATCATCCATTTTCAAAAGCTTTCTCCTTTTAGAACGGACTTCCTCCATCACTACAAGAGGCTAAATTGTTAGTCAATCTGGCCTCACTCTCGAAGCCAACTTCCTATGCCTGTTATGAAGGCTTGAAACTAGCCAGGTACTTTATGGTTGTATGAGTATAACTACCAACTACCACATATCGAACATGGGTGAACCTCACCAATGATGATATTTGCTAGTCTGGGAGCGTCTTTCTCTCTACTGGATCCCTTGAGGCAAAATGAGGCAAACTCATTCCTATGTGTGCATACGATGACCCATCGCTAGAAATTTGAAACGAAAACCCTATAACTAGGGAGGCTGATTTTGTAAAAATTCGGCTTGAGAAATGTGTGCAAAGAAAGTATACCTCAATGAATGCACTCGTACACATGAACAAATACCCCAAAACTAGAGCAGTAAAGAAAAAAAAAAAAAGTGGGGAAAGCATGAGAATAGGCAAGATAAACAAGAAAGGAAAGAGCCATATATTTATATGTAATTCAAGGTCCATAATGATCTCAAAAAAAAAAGAGAAAGGTCACATCCTTGATCCTAAATCCTCCTCAGCCACTGGCGTACGAGTGTTAGCCTCTGCCTCCAACCTCTGTCGTACACGCCTCAGACTCCCCGTCATCCGAGTAGATGCTCGAGATTGCGACTAACTCCAAACAGAAGATGGTAGCGGCACCCTCACATAAGGATTCGCATCTGCTAAAGAAGGGCTACCACCCGCGACCAATAGAAGCCCTGATAATTTGCCACTTTGTCTATAAGACCTTTTACATCCTCTTGAAGCTCATCGCATCAATCACTGACTGAGTTCTGTTAAACCAAAGACACGACATGAGAGAAGGAAAAAAAAAAAAAAGAGAAAAACGATATGGAAGAAAAGTATCCCCTCTCCGATCGGTAATAATCTAGACGTCTCTCTAAATCTGCAATGAGGATAGGAGATGGTCTAGGAAGGGTTGGAACAACAACAGAAGAAGATGATACTGATCATACTCTCTCCAGCTCGGTCCGAACTCTCTCCAGCTCATCCCTAATAGAATCATGCTCTGCTTCTACCATGTCCCTCGCCTTTCTCATCTCCGCTTCTGCCATGTCCATCGCCTTTCTCATCTCCGCTTCTCCCATGTCCCTCGCCTCTCTCATCCCCTCAAAGTCACGGCGAAGACTCTCGAGATCCTCTGCAATTGAATCTCGCTCCCTTATCGCCGAGTCGCGCTCAGCACGAAGAGACGCGCCTTCCTCACCAGAAAATTGATTCTCGTCAAGATAGGCACTCCTCAGTTGTCACATCATTCCCTCACCATGATCAGTCAGGGCAGCTACATCCCTCAAAATGACCTTGTATTTCTCCTCATATAAAGACAAGAGGATGCTCTCCTCTTCCTCCTCACCAATAACATGAGCAATCCTACCCCTCCACTCCTCCATCCAAGGAGTCATCTCTCTCAAATAGACATCCTCATCAGCAATATTGACTATAATTGGAGTCCAAGGTGGAGTAATCTCGAAGGAAGACTCAGGAAGGCCAAATTGACGACGTACTCGACCTGAAAAGTACGGCATCACCAAGAACATACAGATCAAATGGACAGTCATCCTGAAAGTCCGAGAAGACGCAGCATAGAATGGTGGGATAGGGTCGACCCTCATAGGAGTCCAGTCAATCTGGGTAACATCCTCAAGAGGAGGAGCAAGTTCACCGGATCGTAAGGGAATCGAGCTGGTCTCCGGTCTATATTTAGGGTATAACTCAATTATCAAAGCACAATCAAAGCTAAAAGGCCTGATCCTACAGACCTCCCACAAGTCAATCCAGGCAAGAGCTTACCTTCTCCCAGAAGTCAATAATTCTGCCCATTTACAGATTGCAAATAAGTGGGACCTACAGTCAACATAGAACCCCTGCACAAAACAAAAAATAAATAAATAAATAAATAAATAAATAAATAAATAAATATGGTAAAGAGGGGATGAAAGGCCATCAAGCTTTCAACCATCAGGCACCAAAAAAAAAAAAATACACCATCACCCCACAACAGGGGAATTTCCATTTTCATCATTTTGCACTTAGTAATAATAATAATAATAATAATAATAATAATAATAATAATATTAATAATAATAAT